GTGTGTGTGTATATATGTGTGTGTATATATATATATATATATATATATATATTTATAGTACACAGTAGAAACAGTATAGGCAGATGTCTGAGAGATCTGAAATAACTCTTGTCACCTTTGGTGTATAGAGATATTTTACAATATATGCAATATATACATACAGTATTATAGTTTTATGCAGTAGAATGGCTGAAATTAGGGCATGCTTCCATAGATAAAAGCTTAGTCCCATCATGTTTGCTATATGTTACTTGCTGCCTTGCGGTGGCCGGCAGGATTAGCAGCGTCTATGACAGCAGGCTGTCTCAAACAGGGACCCACTCTACCTTTTCTCAATATTTTTACAATTGATGTCACCTGTGCCAGGCCCCCAGAGCCAAGGTGCCATGGGTAATTACAGCAGACAGAAGGTCTGAGGAGGGAAGAGGGAGGACCAGCTATATGCATTGCATGGGAGGTCTTGGCTTTGGGTTATAAGACCCTTGTCTGCTGTTTTGGGGGAAAATTGGGAAGTGGACAAACAGCGAGCAGACAGGAGAGGCTCAGAGGAGAGAAATGGAAGAGGGAATAGCAGAAGCTAAGAAAGGAGGCTATGTGGCAGGCCTGGCGTGACACGGAGAACCATGAGAGTCTGGAGACGGAGGGGGGGTGGAGAGCATGGCCGCAGGAAGTAACGCTGCTGTCAGCTCCCACCAACTTTAAACCAGTCTGAACCTAGCCCAAAGTTCCTTTCAAGAGACAAACGTCGTCTTAAAGAAACAGCTCATCCAAAAATGATATACGCATCCTCTTGCCCTTCTAAACCTGTTTGTTTTTCCAAAGAAAAAATCTTCCCTCAACAATTGTATTTACAGACAATGATGGTTCTGTCAAATTCCAAATTTGGAGTCAAATTTGGAAGATAAAAGGCTTTAAGTGAATATGAACATATAAAATATGTGCATTTAAGGGCTCCATTAAGATAGCCATGAATGCTAGGATTGCAATTTGTTTTTATTAAATATTTTTTTATTAAATTTTTTTTTTCTATTTCATATTTTTTATTTTATTTTAATAAACTATAAATGTATTAAAAATAATTTGTTATATTAATAAATATCATTATTTCATATTTGTAGAAGCATTGATATTTTGAATATTATTATTATTATTATACTGATTTATTGTGCATCCCTACAAACAAACACAGCAAACCAAATACCTTTTTCCCCATTATAATTTTAAATTGCAATCGCCAATTTTATCAGGAAAAAAAATCACTTTTTTTAAAACCCTAATTGTGCAACCCTAATATATGCTACTTTTTGTTTTGTTTTGTTTTTGTGTGAACTGTTGCTTTAAATATAAAGCTCCAGCTCTAAACCAAGCTACATGAGACAACGTTTGTCTTTCCACAGGCACAAATACATACAAAAATAAAGTGGAGTCACCGCATTCACCGCTGTCACATTCTAGATAGCCATATTAATAACAATCATCACGACAGGTCACACAACTGCCCTGGAACTTCATACATAATTGAAATGGAAAATATACAAATCCTCATATATGTCTCTGGACATTTTGAAGCAGCAACCACCACTTTTGAATTCCCATCATTCATCTTCACCGTGGTGAGCGAAGCAGAGGCCGTCGAGGGTGAAACCGTACTCCTCCATCAGCCGTGTGCGCGCCGCCTTTATATGCTCCTATTCTGGGCCCTGCTCCAGCTGAGTTGACTGTATTTTAAATGGCACACAACTAAACCCTTGAGGCAGGCAGCCTTCAAAGAGAAAATCTTAACTGAAGACCCCCCAGGGACCATGCACTTTTTTTCCACCTACAGTTTGCCGTCATTACGTCGCCGCTGATTTGTAGCCTTGAAACGGGACTGCATATGAAGAATAAACGACTTTACAGTCGTGGCACAACAAATAAACAAACATCTGGAACCGCTCAGAGGGCGCCATTAAAACAGTACATTACTTGCCCAAAATGTGAAAATGATGACAAATGTGCTGTCACAGAGGCTGGGAGAGGCCAGATGATG